AAATTCAGTTTTGTCACAGAACAAGAAATGAAAAATTCCGTGCTAGTACAGCGACCTGTTTAAGATAGCTCTATTGGATATTGGAGGTGTATATGAATACGAATGAATCGTACAAGCAAAAAAAAAAGGTCAACAGGTTGCGCAGGATATCGTCGGATGAAATTACTAGTTCACCCGGATGGTGAGCTGATTCCCGGACTGTCCGGACGTAGGCGCGACGCAAATATAGATTAGAATAGTTCAAATTTTTACAAGATATTATTAATATTTATTGTGAAATTTTGCCCCCTAAAAGGTAATTTTGCCGCCCCCTAAAAAGTGCCGCCCGGGGCGGGCCGCCCCCACTACGCCTTCGTTGTGTCTCTGTCGTGAACACCAAATCCCAGCAGGGTAGCACTACGCACCAAAACCCAAGACCCCGCAAAATTCCCGAAAGTGCGTTTTTATCGATTTTTCCACCTCCGTCGCATCTCCATTGGTCTCTCCTCGTCACATTGTGACAATTCGAAACCCAACTAAGGGCGCGGGAGGGGTCAACGTCGCGTCGGAACACGACTCCTCTCCAACCTCGTTTTCTTCGACTTTATCTATTGTTTAAAATCTTTTAACAAGATATTTAAATTAATTAAGTTTACTCTTTCACGCTACGAAACTTGACTCATTCAAAAAGTCGTTAAGGGCCTCCTTTTGGACCCTGTTTGGGTCCTCACAATTGGAGTGATTTGCACTAATCGGGCCCTGCGCTTGAAGGGGCCCCACAGCACATCAAAATTTATATATTTAAAAATAGTTTAAAATTACAGAATAGATTAAAAAGTTCATGTCGATCATGTCGATTGAGAGTCAAGAAGCAAGCCAATTAAATTTTGATACTATTCTAAAAGATTTTACAGAACAAAAACTTCAGAACATATAAAACCTCTCTTTATAGGTTTATATTTAATAAAATTCAGTTGTATTCATTCATCAACATATTAGATTTTTCATGGCAAAAATATATGTAGTTATATTCATTTAAAAATACAGCAGAGTGTCGTTTATCCGAAACGTCGGTTAACCGAAAGTATTTCAGTCGGCAAATTTTAATTTTCGCTAGTGCTGTGGCGCTGCAAATCTTTGGCTATATCTTGGGCTACTCCAATATTTTTTTTGTTGATGTGTGTTTTTTAACTGGCAGCACTGGCACTTTTGTGTGGTGTTTTTCTGAGCACTGTGTCGTGCTGAATCGAACGTTTTTTCATACTAGATTAACTTCTAAAGTATAATTTTTATTAGTTTTTATATTTTTCAATGTATTTATTTCGTTTGTAAAATATAAAGAAATAATTTTTAACGATACAATAGCCATGTATTTTAAAAAGTTTACGTTAGGCTTAACATCGACGAAAATTCAACGCGAAGCGACACGCAACGGAGAAAAATTTCAACACAGGATAGGTTAATATATTTTTTCGTACATAATCGATTATCCGAAAAATAAGTTATCCGAACAACCCGTCCCCAATTGATTCGGATAAACGACGCTCTACTGTATATAAATACTAAAACATATCTATGTATGTTTATCTATACTAATATAATAAAGGTCATGTTTGTATGTTTGTAAGTTTGGATGCAGCAGGTAATCTCCAAAACTACTCATCCGATTTCAAAAATTTTTTCACCAATATTTAGAATGGAACTTCAGGATGGACATAGGCTGTATATTATTCCGTTAAACATGGGGGATGGACAGTTCTTTACGGTAAGCCTTACGGAGAAGGCTTACCGTAAAGAACTCTGCTTCTATTTATACTATTTTAAATGCGGTTTTTTGCATTTTTGATTGCATTTTAATAGAGTACGTCAACAGAATGTACACTAAG